CAGCTTCAGGCTCAGGTTGAAGACGTGCTCCACAATCCCATCCCATGATGAATCCATGCGTAATATTTGAAGATACTGATTTGATTTTGATATTCCTCTTGTATGTAAATCTTGATGTAAATCTCTGAAAATAATTGAGCTTCAATAACACTTGGATTGATTAGGGAATGAAACCGCTGTGTCCCACAGCTCAAACACAGGGTTAAGTGAATAAAACCACAAGAAGGTTAGTTTCAGAGCACCTAATAGACAGTGAGTTAAAGTTCTAAAAGTTTCTGAAACAGAAAACGCAGAGTTCACAAACTCAAAAGTTTATCTAAAGCCACTTTGGAACAGACACCTCATGAATAATCCTATACTGCCTGGTACTGCTTGGTACTGTGAACTTGTAACTACTTGTTAAAAAATTGTTTTGATGTAACTGAGGGCATTGTTATGGTGCAAACACACTGGATCAATTGAGGATTGAAGTTAACTGAACTGTCGACAGCCTAATATTTTTTTTCATGAGCGAGTGATCCAGCTGCGTGATGCATGCAATCACTGTATCTGTATTTGCACAAGCCCTAAACTTTAAGGAAAGTTCAGTCAATGAACCCGTTCAACGCATTACACCAGGCTCAAACTCAAACTGTCAAACTAGGCAGTGCTGATTAAATATGAATCAAGATTCTGTTACAGCATTGCCTATCTGTCGTATCAAATTCGTTCAGAAACATATTTTAGTATACTGTTTAGATGTAATATATGAAACTTTCTGACCTGGCCACCATGGTTTCATCAAGCACCGCCCGACTCGCAGCACCACCTGGAGTGTTCAGTGTTCTGGTCCATCCAGATGTATCCATGCTGGATTCCGTGCGTCTGCACTATTAGAAGGAGGAGTACATTATCAGCAGTTTGACTTGTACTGACAGTATGCCAGTAGATCTTGAAGACCATCAAGCTTGCATAAAGAAAACTCTAATCTTAATGATAAAACAGGTTCTTTGTCATTGTCTTTTGAAATAATAATTTTAACAAAAAATATTCATATGAGTTTCTGAAATTCAGAGTTAAGGTTTTGTTAAGCTTAGGCATCTAAAACTACTCTGTTAAAGTGGGGACATATTGTGGCTATGGTTTAAAGAAGATAGACACTTTGTAAACCCAAGAGATTCATGGCCATAACACTTTCACCTATGCTTCCCAGACACAACGGTCATTATTCACACAACCGCAAGTGGTTGCCATTATCACAATTTAGCCAGCATAAGTCTTACTGTTTTTCAATTAGTCTAGTCTGACTACAGTAATATATGACCTGCATTAAGCTGTACTGTTATACTGTATAATTCTGTGTCTATTTTAGATAAACCAATAAACCAATTGTCATCCACTGAGATGAGGTTATATAGAGTGTGTTGCGTGAATGCTGAACAGAAGAATATTGATTTGGGAAGGCCTCAGTCAGCTATGTGACTATCTAGAAGAAAAAACATTCTTCTAGATACTGTAACTTCCTTGGATTTGTGATCCAATTCAGCACATGAAGCAAGGGCAGAACCTCTCTTGACGAAGTGTCTACACTCATGGGAGCAGTTCTGTAAGACTGTAATGCTCCTTGTAAAGAAAACCAACTGTTTAAACCAAAGTACTGGACAAACTGAAATATTGAATTTTGATGGCGCTATATGAAAAGAATCACTAATTCAAAGACTTTAAATGTCTGGACCAAATTACATAATTAACCATCCAGTGGTTGTTGAAACTATTCCCTTTGGTCGTCAAATACTGGCGCTGCTTAGTCACGCTCCTTGTCCTACAGACTCACAAAGTTACTCTTTAGAGTTTTCTTAACACGTAGTTATCATTGTAAAATTGTCGCAGTTTGCTTAGGTTTAGGTACTACAACCACTTGGTTAGGTTTAGAAAAACTCATTGTGGTATGAGTTAAAAACATGTCACTTACTAATGCAAGTGTCTTTTAAATAACTCAACTTTGACTTTTGGTTTTACACAGGACACAAACCCTCTGGTCTCATGGGTAAAAGTCCTGTGTTTGTTTGTACCTTGTCCATCTGGATGAGACACAGAGGGGCGTGAAAAAATATAATTATTTGATGACATGGGAATGAGAATGCTGGGATTCATCCTCTGAGCAACAAAAATTTTGTGCCAATCCATTTCTTTGGATAAGTAAAAATTTGGACTGCTGCTGGTGCTAGAGGAAAAGCCAGAGGATCACCAATTTCAGTGTGAATCACATTCTGAGCACCATGGATACAGACTATGTACACTGGGCCTTAATGTAAAAAAAAAAACTCTGCAAAAGTGCCCTCTACGTCGTATGGTGCTTATCTAACCCTGACTAAACTGTTTCACCATAAATACATCACAACTCTCTATGCGCTGGTGCCCTTTTTTTCGCACCCACCTCAAACAGCCACAAAAAGTCCACCACTGTATATGTGCCAAATGTCAATGCGATCCATTTATATTTCAATCTGGACCAATCTGGACCAAAGTGATCCTAACTGCCATTCTTAAGCCACTTTGATATTTAGTTTAAAGTAATCAGAAAGGAAATCTGACCTACCAGGGTCTCAAATAAATAAAAGTGATATTGGAGTCCCTTTTCAGATAATTCTGATGCACTCTACACATATAGGTGTGAGTGCATTATGTCAAAT